TCAACAGTAATAGTAAAAACATTCTCAATCCCCCACCCAAGCAAACAAGCTTCAATAACCTTACCAATTGTCTCACCCTTATGATTTGAAATCTGGCAAAAACTTATAATTCTTTTCCATAAATGCCAATTACTATCAATGTAATGTGCAGTGAGACACATATAAAACATTTGTGTGGAAGATATCCAACAATAAGTTGTTAAACATATTCTTTGACCGACCTTTGTCAACTCTTTCTTTAATTTAATCCTCTCATTGCAAAACAACTGATGAACATCTCTAGCAACAGTAATTACTAGGAACACCAAATTTTGGTTGCAACTCATGAACAAGTTCCCTAAATCTTTTCACCCTCTACAACACTAAAGAGTTGTTCATCCTTAAGCACAAACCTAACCACGACTTTGCAACATCTCTCTTTATTAAATGACACTTCATTTTCATTGATAGTAGGAAAACTAAGCAATTTTTGTTTTTTATGCTAAAGCTATCCAAATACTTCTTACATTGGTTCCTTAAATGATTCCACAAAGAACTTGTGTCAAATTTCTTACTATAGTAAGCATAGTCTTTTCCACAATAATTACAAAAACATCTAGAGTCCTTTTTTGAAAAGTGATCCCAAACGTTTGAAGTTCTACCACCCCTTTTCTCAGACGAGTTTGGTTCATCATTGTCTTCGATTTTTGGATATTTAGGAGTATCTTCCATTGCTCCTATACATCGTCAATTAAGATAACATTTTCAAAAAGATAAACCAACAAAATAGGCAACAAAATAAACCAATAAACCAACAAAATAGGCAACAAAATTAACCAATAAACCAACAGAAATACACACACAATTAAACTACGATGATCCTGTAATTGTAAACAACTAACAGTTAAATTAATAGCTAAGTGTTGGGTTACGGGATCTCAATCACAGCGGAAAATAAAACCGTAACCCTCCAAGGACCCATACGAACCCGAATAAATCGGGTGTTTCGAAATTATACCTCACAGTTAGCGAAACTCTGGATCACAGCAACAAACAAAGCTTGATGCCTCCACGGTATCCACGCGAACAATCCGAATCCTTTGTCTTCTCGTGATGCTAGTCACGGTTTCAAAACTTAAAAAGAAAAGGGAGCATATTGTTGTAGGTGGTTTTAGGAGAGAAAAATGCAAGACCAAAAAAACTCTCTTGCATAAAAAAATGTCATACATTTTATATGGACATGGGATGTATGGCCTAACCATCACCATCAGTACCGTTCCTGAGGTTTTTGATGCCTCGTGCGAAGATACTAAAAAATGCCCCTATGTCTATATTTTAAGCAAATGAAACGATGAAAAATGCGATTTTACTAAAGGGTTTGGAACCTAGTCAAGCTAGGCAGCTCAACCTTACGTCGAATTTTATTAATTAGCATGAAAAATACAAAAGGGAACATAAAAACCAAAACCCCAAATTACAAATATAAGTATATCAACTAAAACGATGTCTTCATGCACTTCTTGAAGCAAAAATATTAATTACTTTTTCATATTCAACATTCAGCAAGTCAGCTACCATTATCATAAGATGATAAGAGAGCTTGTATTAATTGGAAATACAATGAATGCATAATGTCAAAATTGATCAATTAAATGTTACTATGTTAGAATTTAGAAACAAAATCATACCTTGGTTTTAGAAACAATGCAATCGACTTCCACAGTTCNGTAGAGAGCTCATTTGTAATATTCTTTACGTAATAAGAGTTTGACCAGAGCTTTAAAGATTGACTTTCTCTCTCTCAATGTTCATATGAATGTTCTTAATGCAATATCCAGATCTGCCATATTGTGAAGCTTAATGAAGATTGATCAGTGAATTTAGGGACAAACACAATCCAATTATGGCGGTTTGGGAAATCTCAACCCAACCTAACCCATTCAAAAGTATAATCCAACCCAACCCTTGCGGGTTAGGGCGGGTTGGGTTGAGTTGGTGGGTTACTAAAATTCATAAAATTGGCAAATGAAATATGATAAATAATACTAAAAATATACCTAACAAAGTCATTAGTGTTGGACCGAAAACTAGGGAACCACCCACATGATATTGTCTGCTTTGGGCTGCCCCTTTCGGCAACAACCCCTCACGGATTTAAAACGCGTCATTTGTAGGAGTAAGACCCCCCCTTCCTTTATAAGGAAGACGAATCCCCCTAGCCTCACCGATGTGGGATGCTCCTGCATTGCTACAGGAGCGTTGGGTTTAAGAATCGCGGATTTGACCGGCTCGAGGGAACGATGAGGCGGAAGTCCCAACATTCCCCCCCACATTGGTGCGGCCCTAGCTCTGATACCAATTGTTGGACCGAAAACTAGGGAACCACCCACATGATATTGTCCGCTTTGGGCTGCCCCTTTCGGCAACAACCCCTCACGGCTTTAAAACGCGTCACTTGTAGGAGTAAGATCCCCCTTTCCTTATAAGGAAGACGAATCCCCCTAGCATCATCGATGTGGGATGCTCCTGCATTGCTACAGGAGCGTTGGGTTTAAGAATCGCGGATTCGACCGGCTCGAGGGAACGATGAGGCGGAAGTCCCAACAATTAGTTATTACAATCATCCAAAAATATATCTAAATCCTCAAGTCTTGGAATCAAATTTCAGAAGTTTGATACGAGCAACAGACTTCTCATTTCCATATGTCAAAGTATGTGTCCTTGGGAAGATGGTCATAATTCTTCTTGAACATTGAGAGCTGCAGAAAGCCAA